TTTTTTTTTTTTTTTGTAGATAGGGTCTTACTCTGTTGCCCAGGTTATAGTGCTGTGGCACAGTCATAGCTTACTGTAACCTTGGATTCTTGGACTCCTGGACTGAAGCAATTCTTCCACCTCAGTCCCCTGAAGCTGGGACTACAGGCATTAGTCACTATGCCAGCTAATTTTACAAATGTTGAAGAGACGGGGTCTCACTCTACTGCCCAGGTTGGTCTCAAAGTTCTAGGGTCAAGCAATCCTCTTTAGCCTCCCAAAGTGCTGGGATTACAGTTGTGAGCTGCTGCACCTGACCAAGAGCTATGTTTTCAAAGGAGGAACCAAGGTTATTGAACTTGGAAAAACCCAACAGGAGATTTGAGTGTTGTGGAAGGCTTATTCTGCATAGAGGGTTATGGTCTATCAAGAACATTTCCTGTGGAACTTCTACCCTCTGGCAATGACACAACTATTTTCCTCTCACCCGGAGCCCCTGGCCTCTCAGGTCTCACAAATGCCTCTCTTATCCACACTTCCCTCCCTCTAAGCTCTCTGCTACCCACTGACCTTAGCCTGGCAAGAATCTCCTTACACTCTTGCTGATGGCACTTCTCCACCCCTTCTGGCATGCCCCTCTGTCCTGACTTTTCTCATTTTGATCCATCCATGCCTGTTTACCACTAGTAAGCACTTCTCTGCTATCGCCCTAGACTCAAAAACCTGCACTAGCTCTTAAGTCTTGTCGCTTCCTTGGAATTAGTCTCCTGTACTTGACTTTTCCTGCTTTCTCCAGCCCCACTCTGCCCCTCTACATTTACCTGCTGCCTGATCTGTCACTGTCAGCTGTCAGGGTGTGTCCCTATCTCTCAGTGCTGGAATGCCCCAGCTCCACACCATCCCTCAAGGAATCACAGTCACATTCTCACCCTTCCAATCGTAGTCTTTGTGGCCTGCTGAGGCACTTACCTCCCTGTATCACACAGTGATAATTGTATCTAATTGTATCATATATGTCTTTTCCTAAGTGGCAGAATGATCTCTTTCAGAACAGGCACAATTCATTCAGAAACTGTTTATCACATTACTGTCCAGCCAGGCACTCTGCTCGGTTACACTGTGGCGCAATGCAGCATGGCCCTTGCCCTCCGGTTATCTCCTTCCACATTTCCCTGATATTATTCTGGTGCCAGTTTTCCTGGTCCTAACAGAGACCTGTGCACATAGTCAGTGCTCTTTTTCCTCTGGTTGAGTGGAGCCCAGGAGGGATAGAGACTTGAGTTTGAGGGCTCTGTGTTCTCTGGAGCGGATGTGTTTTTTTAGGCCTGCGACCATCTTGGCTCCAGGCAGGCCTGGTCCTGATTATAGTTGGAGACACAGCCAGCTTTCCAGAGAATGTGACCCAATATCACCCCTTGTTGGAGAACAAGATAACAACAGCTGTAGAGTTTAGAATAGAAAGAGAAAAAAGAAAGAAAGAAAGAAAAAAGACAATATCCAGCATTTTAGCAATCTGTAGCAGGGATTCTCATTTTCAAATCTTTGTCCTTTCTCAAGTTTTTACCTTAAACAATTTGAATGTTGGGAAGGTGAAGGGCTGAATAATGGAGACTTGTTGAATACTTTAGTGGTAATAATAGTGGTGATGATGCTTGACACAGGAAGCAGTAGAAAGAGTACAGCCTTGCTATTCTCTTCATCATTCCTCTGGGTTCTCCAGTTCCTGTTTCCCCTGGCCTGGGTGTGTACTCTCCCCTACGGTGGTTTGCCTGCCCCCCTCACAGTACATTGCTTTTCTAGCTCATGGGTAAATATTGAACTATTTGGGTTTCGAATGCCTGCCCCTTGAAACTCCTGCTGGGCTAGATAAACATACTGGGAGAACATCTCTTAAGAATTGCTTTTGGATAGGCTATATTGCAGTTAACTCACTGACTGAGTCCTTGCAGTGGTCAGCACTATGCTGCCCTCCTGCTTTCCTGGGATTGTGGTGGGGGGAGGAAAGGCAGTGATCCGTGCCCTCCATCTGGGAGCTTATGGTCCAGTTGGGGAGAGAGGACTCACACACTGGGAATGCTTGGAGGCTGAGTGGAAGGCAGCTGCAGAAGCCTAAAGGAGGATTCTTGGCTGAGTAGGAAGTAGTGCTATGTTATTGCCAGATCCCTTGCCATACTTAAGTTTCTAGTTTTAAGTGGAATTCAGTCAAGTGCCAAAATGTCTGCTGTAGACAATGGGTGATGTGGGCTGGTAGGAAAGGAAATGTGGCCTCTTTTCTATGAGAGGAGAACAGGGATGGGCTGTGGGAGAGTAGACTGAGAGGCAGGAGTTGCTGTGGTTTACTAATCTGCTGGTATTCATCTCCCTGAAATGTCCCTGGACCTGCCCTGGGCCTCCAGCTCACACCTAGGCTTCATGCTCTGAGTTTCTCTCTTTGTCCCATTTACCCAATCCCAGTGCCCTTTTTGCTCATGACGCAGACTTACTCTCTCTCTCTCTCTCTCTCTCTCCTGTCTTCTTAACCTCTCCTAGCTTGGACCCTGCATTTCCCTTGCCAGTCCTCTGAAATGAGCTGGGGTTTGTAAGGTGAGGCTGCTGTCCAGGCTAGGAAATCCAAGGGTTGGTCTCATCTTGGTGAGTTGGCCTCTGGTGAAGACCCTGGCTGACTAGAAAGTAGAAGCAAGGGGTCAGAGGCCAGGATGGCTGAAGGAACTTAGGGCACTGATTCAGAGAACATGATTAGACCGGGAGGAAGAAGCCTAAGGAGGGAACTTCAAACTTCTCAGTTTGGGGAGAGGATGTTAAGCAGAGACTATGACATATGGTGGTCCAAAATTACATTTCTAGACCAGGCATGGTGGTTCACACCTGTAGTCCCAGCTACTCAAGAGGTAGGAGGATCCATTGAGGCCAGGAGTTTGAAAGGAGCCTGAGTCAAATAATGTAGCAAGACCGCTTCTCTATAAAAACATTTTTTTTGAGACAGAATCTCACTCTGTTGCCTCCTGTAGAGTGCTGTTACGTCATAGCTCACGGCAACCTCAAACTCTTGGGCTCGAAGCAATTCTCTTGCCTCAGCCTCTTGAGTGGCTGGGATTACAAGAGCCCATCAGAATGCCTGGCTATTTTTAATTATTTTTATTTATTTTTTGAGACAGAGTCTCACTCTGTCACCCTCTGTAAAGTGCTGTCATGTCATAGCTCACAGCAACCTCAAACTCTTGGGCTTAAGCGATTCTTTTGCTTCAGCCTCCCAAGGCTGAACTGGGACTACCAGTGCCTGCCACAATGCCCAGCTATTTTCTTTTT